GGGCGTAGGGAGACAACGGGGGAGACACGAACTTGTTCAGTTGACAGACTGTGCCAGCAGGATTGAGGTTGGGTTCCCGGCCGTCTTCTCCTCTCTGCAGAACTTTGGAAGCACTAGCTTCTTCAGTGAGGGAAAGGGTGATAGGAAGGCTTGCTCAGTGTGTTCCAGTGACATGAGGCCTGAAATATTACGTCTGGGACTACACAGAGAAATTAAATGTCATTTCTTTACTAGTAATTGAGGTAGGCAGAATAAGGCATCCCCTGACCTCAAAACGTCTATGTCCTAATCCCCCAAACCAGTGAATGTGACCTTACATGGTAAAGGGCACTTTGCAGACGTGGTTTAGTTAAGGATCTTGCGGGAGAGAGATCACCCTGCATTCTCTGGGTGGGCCCTCAAACAAAGTCCTTATTAAAGGGAGGCAGGGGTGTGAGTCAGAGAAGGAGATCTGATGACAGAGGCACAGGGCCAGAGTCAGAGAGACATTTGAGGATGCTGCGCTGCTGGCTTTGGAGCTGGGGGAAGGGACCTTGAGCCAAGGAAGGCAGGCTGTGTCTAGAAACTGGGAACAGCAAGGAAACAGACGCTTCCCTAGGGTCTCCTAAGGAATGCCACCTGCTGACACCTTGATTTCAGCCCAATGAGACTCATTTCAGGCTTTTGACCTCCAGAACTGTTAGACAATAAATGTGTGTTGTTTTAAGCCACTAAGTTTATATGGTAATTTGTTATAGCAGCAATAGGAAACTAAAACAATGATATAAACAACATTACAATTTGACTTAGAAACATTAATTAATTAATGATTAATTAATGAAACATTAATTAATTAATGATTAATTAATGAAACATTAATTAATTAATGATTAATTAATGAAACATTAATTAATTAATGATTAATTAATGAAACATTAATTAATTAATGATTAATTAATGAAACATTAATTAATTAATGATTAATTAATGAAACATTAATTAATTAATGATTAATTAATGAAACATTAATTAATTAATGATTAATTAATGAAACATTAATTAATTAATGATTAATTAATGAAACATTAATTAATTAATGATTAATTAATGAAACATTAATTAATTAATGATTAATTAATGAAACATTAATTAATTAATGATTAATTAATGAAACATTAATTAATTAATGATTAATTAATGAAACATTAATTAATTAATGATTAATTAATGAAACATTAATTAATTAGTTGATGGGAGGAAGAAAAGGAATTTGTTTCCTGTTTGGTTCTCAAATGGAATTCAGGATTCTCTGAATAAGTGGTGAGCACAGAGAGTTTCTGTTTTTGTCTGCTCCATGGCCCTTCTCAGGGGTCATTGTTTGCTCAAGATTCTTTATTATTTTTTTTATTTACAGCTTTATTGAGGTATAATTTATATACCATAAAATTCACCTATTCCAAGTATAGAACTTAACAATTTTTAGTGTATTTACAGAGTTGTGCAACCATCAACCACCATCTAATTATAGAATGTGTAAAGACACTCAATGTCAGGAGGTTGTGCAGGAGATGGCTAACATCGAGTTCAGTTGAAAATGTCCTTTTTTTATTGAATCATAGTTGATTAGACGTATTTTTGGGATTCAGTGTTGACGTATGTTGATCAAATCAATATTACTAGCATATATATTGTTACAAATTGTACTTATTCCTTATGCTCCTTGTCCAATCTCTCCCTATCCCCCCTCCCTCCCACCACTGGTAACCCTAGATTGCTTCTCTCCTTCTGAAAGAGTAATGGCTACTCTGTTGATTTGTTGCCTAGATGATCTGTCCAATGCTGAGAGGTGTTTTCAGGTCCCCCAATATTATAGTAGAGCAGATGATTCTTCTGTCACTGTGGAATGGGCTTTATGGAGAGAGACATCCTCTGCTTTTCTTTGGTCTCTGCTGGTGACTCTCCTTGTGCCTATGCACTCCAGTGGCTGGTGGACCATCTGCATGGTGGTTGTGGCATCTAGCCACTTTCACGGCAGCTGTGGTTACTGTGGTGGCTGTGGTGGGCCACCCACATGGAGGTGATGTTTTTGGCATGCTCCTTGGAACTGGTGGTGTGCCTGGTTGTGGGAGGAGGGTCCACTTCCCAGCTCCATGCTCTGGGTCCCCAGGTGGGCCCTGAGGTGGTGGGGGTGTGCCTGGTTGTGGGTGAGTGGTCCGGTTCTCAGCTCCATACCTCATGTACCCTGGCAGGCCCTAAGGCACTGGTGGTGTGCCTGGGCCAGAACTAAGGTTTTGTCCTTTGCTTACTTCTAAAACAGGGAAACTTCCTGTGGGAACCAGTACTTGAGCTCTGTGGTTGAGCTAAATTGCTGCTTTGCTGCTGATTCCCTGGGTGAGGCTTTTTGTGCAGCTCAGGTTTTAATGGTTGACTTTCTAGGTACTTCCGGCTCTTGTGAGATCCAGTGCACCTGGGTTGTGTAGAAACTCTGATCTGGGCCTGAGTCTTTATATCAAACTGCACCCCATGCAATTCTGCATTCCCGACCAGTCTCCTCTGAGTGGTCCTGTGCTGATTGGGGGGCAGATCGGCTGTCCTTGCTGTGTCCCAGTGCTCCCCCGGTGGACTTGTCTCCCCCACAGCCCATGCTCCAAACACTTCCCATGGGACGGGCCCTGTGCTGGTCCCTTGCAATGACTTGCCGGCCTCTGAATGGCTCCCCTTTTTTGGCTGTTCTGGCTTCTTGCTCCTTTGTGGGTCTACAGGAACCCTATTAGTGGTCTTGCTGTCCTGGGGGCCACCAAGGCCCTCTTCTCCCCTTCCGCCTCCAAGCAACTTCATCCAAAGGGCACAGCTGTGGCTTCTGCCGGTTACTGCTGCATGTGCTCAGCAGCTCCAGCATTAAAGCGGCCACCGCCTGAAATGCTCCAAGCAGTTTTTTCTTTCTCTCATCATAGCTTCTCCTACCTTCATGAACTCCATAGATCTCTCCTCCTCTTCCCCTGAGCTCCAGTAGCCCCAGCTTGGCTGTCGTTAAATTTTTATAGTTGTAAATTGGTTGATTTGTGGGAGAGAGTGACACTGGGGACTGTCTATTCCACCATGTTGACCAGAACTCCCTGCTCCAGATTCTTATGGGACAAAATATGTATCTTGGTTGAGCTTTGCTGACATGTCCTTGACTGTCTGTGTGTAGAATGCAAGTTGAATTTTGTTTGATCACTTGGAAACAGAAACCCACATATAGCCATGCTGTAATGTCCTGGTGCTCAGAGCAGAAAGCTTCTGGGACCCTCATAGATTGTGACAATGAAGCCTGCCTTGGTCTCAACACAGACTCCTGGGGAAGCATGGTTGTCCCCCATCTGCTCCAGTCAAGCTCCAGCCACCCTGCTCCACCCCCTGCTGCCGTCACTGAAGAGAAGTGGCCTCCTGCCACAGCACGACTTATTTCAATGGACCAGAAGAGGCAGGTAAGGAGCCCGTGTCAGTGGCTTGTATATGAGATCCGAGTTGGTCAGCACTTCATCCTCCTCCTGAAAGGACAGAACAAGGGACACCCCAAACTCCCAGATTCCCATGTTGCTGTGTCTTGCATAAAATGTAAAAGGGGGCGAAGAGGACGGGGGCGCGGGGAGGAGGGAAGAGGCCAGGACAAAGCCTTGGAGTTGCAGAAGGTGGGTGCGATTTCTGCATTTTATCTAAGTAAACGAGAAATGTAGACAGCACAGTTTTTCGAAGCCATTTTAATGTAAGAAGGAAACGTAAAGCTGCGACTGAACTCTAGCAGGGAAGACACAGGGCCTGGCTGGGAGGAGAGGAGGCGCTGGCCGCAGTCGGTTCTGCCTCCTGATCCAGCCGAGAAATGGTCCCGCGGCTCTGGAGGGCCACAGTAGGTGGAAATAACTCGGCTCGGACGTGAGGACTGAACCCTCATCTCACCCCTGCATTCACCTGTTGGGCGGCCAGTTTTCTGAGCAATTTCATGAAGGTCTAGTGCCTAGGGTAGGGGTGATGATGGATGGCCCACAGGGTCTTTGGGAGGCTTTGTTAAAATGATGAAAACACCTAAGCGCTGAGCCTAGCTCAGCATGGGTCTGTCACTCACTGCCCGTGGGGGTGCCCCCTCTCCCCTTGTCTTCTTGTCTTGCTTCCTCAGTCTGGCAGCTCGACTCTGGCCCTCTTCTGCTTTTATTCCTAGTTTTTTCTATTCTGGGCTGGCCTAGAACAGGGAAGCCAAGTACCCAGACCTTTACCATTGGAAGTAAGTGTCATGCTCTGAAACTTTAGGAAAATAAAGTTTCAGCCAAAGAGAGACATGGCTAAGGAGAGTCATTTCTTTTTTGTGAAGTGTTCTCACCGGATTTGTAATGCAGAGTGGTTGCTCTTCTCCCAATCGGCTTTGTACCACTGGCTGTTGAGATGTGACAGCTATGGCCCACACCCACGCGCTTTGTACCTAGGCGCTAAAGGGCAGGAAGAGAATTCTAAGGTGTCTGGAGGTAGCATCTGCAAGATGGAGCCACCTCCTCCAGGGTGGGGGAACAGCGGGGAAAGAGTAGAATTACTAGAGCGTCGAGACTTGGGCAGAGGAAGGGCACGTGGAGCTGGAAGGGCCGGGGTGGCAGGAGGGGCTGCTGAGGTGGAGCTGGTTTGCCTGGCAGGCGGTGCTGGGGCAGCTGCAGGCTGGCTTCGGTTGCTGCCCGGGTGAATTGCGCAGGACCAGAGGCCACCACAGACAAATAGAAGGGATGTTCTCTTCCTCGGTGCCCCTGTCCGCAGAGCCTCACCTGGAGTCAGCTGGCAGAGCACTGATGGGCTTGCAGAGCCCAGGCTCAGCACTGGAAGGCCGAGCGCACACAGGGAGGGTCAGGTCCAGAGCCAGAGCCCAGTGACGGGCACGGCTGCAGTGTTCCTGACCGCAGACGCCTGGGGTGTGTCGGTCGCAGAAGTGAAGCCCTCCATGCACTTTTGTCAAGACTCCCACAGGTGATTCCGACCCACAGTCTGGACTGAACTGACCGCAGACGCCTGGGGTGTGTCGGTCGCAGAAGTGAAGCCCTCCATGCACTTTTGTCACGACTCCCACAGGTGATTCCGACCCACAGTCTGGACTGAGAATCCCAAATAGCAACAAGGAACCATTAAAAGTTTTTAAGCACAAAGATGGCACATTATTTGTGGTTGTGAAAGCGACTTATTTCAATGGACCAGAAGAGGCAGGTAAGGAGCCCGTGTCAGTGGCTTGTATATGAGATCCGAGTTGGTCAGCACTTCATCCTCCTCCTGAAAGGACAGAACAAGGGACACCCCAAACTCCCAGATTCCCATGTTGCTGTGTCTTGCATAAAATGTAAAAGGGGGCGAAGAGGACGGGGGCGCGGGGAGGAGGGAAGAGGCCAGGACAAAGCCTTGGAGTTGCAGAAGGTGGGTGCGATTTCTGCATTTTATCTAAGTAAACGAGAAATGTAGACAGCACAGTTTTTCGAAGCCATTTTAATGTAAGAAGGAAACGTAAAGCTGCGACTGAACTCTAGCAGGGAAGACACAGGGCCTGGCTGGGAGGAGAGGAGGCGCTGGCCGCAGTCGGTTCTGCCTCCTGATCCAGCCGAGAAATGGTCCCGCGGCTCTGGAGGGCCACAGTAGGTGGAAATAACTCGGCTCGGACGTGAGGACTGAACCCTCATCTCACCCCTGCGTTCACCTGTTGGGCGGCCAGTTTTCTGAGCAATTTCATGAAGGTCTAGTGCCTAGGGTAGGGGTGATGATGGATGGCCCACAGGGTCTTTGGGAGGCTTTGTTAAAATGATGAAAACACCTAAGCGCTGAGCCTAGCTCAGCATGGGTCTGTCACTCACTGCCCGTGGGGGTGCCCCCTCTCCCCTTGTCTTCTTGTCTTGCTTCCTCAGTCTGGCAGCTCGACTCTGGCCCTCTTCTGCTTTTATTCCTAGTTTTTTCTATTCTGGGCTGGCCTAGAACAGGGAAGCCAAGTACCCAGACCTTTACCATTGGAAGTAAGTGTCATGCTCTGAAACTTTAGGAAAATAAAGTTTCAGCCAAAGAGAGACATGGCTAAGGAGAGTCATTTCTTTTTTGTGAAGTGTTCTCACCGGATTTGTAATGCAGAGTGGTTGCTCTTCTCCCAATCGGCTTTGTACCACTGGCTGTTGAGATGTGACAGCTATGGCCCACACCCACGCGCTTTGTACCCAAGATGTATTTTTCTCCTACGCTACCCCCTCCACTTTCTCTCTCCCTTCTTCCCACCTCCATCTCAGAATCAATAGAAAACTCTATTCTTTTCAAAGAATTGGGCATAAGAAAAAATCACCCTAGAATGTGGTAGAGTGCAGCTGATGGTAACTGTTTTGCAAGGCACTGCTCTGCTCCCAGCCTCCTCTTAGGGAGTGAGGCCCTGCATCCCGGTCAAAGGATGAGTGCCATGTCACATGCTGCAGGATGGCTTCCAGCCTCCGACTCTCAGTGAGTCCTCAGGGGCTGGGGAAGCATCCTGCATGCACATGGCTGTGGTTTTCTCATCTTGCGCTCAGCACTATATTCAGGAAGACGGATTTCTATTATGCAGCACAACTGCTGCTCTAGGGTAAATTTCGACACAAAGCAAATTGCATTCTTGTCTGAATCAGCTGAAACAAAAATAAGGGGGGAGAACATAGACCTGAGATAGGTTTCAGGTCTCTCTTTTAAAAAACAGCTACCTTTGGAAAAGCACTTGCGTGTACAATTAAAACAAATGGCCATCTCTAGAGAACAAACTCGCCTTTCTAAGAAAAGGCAAATGGTAAAAACCGTAACACACAAGTACTGTAGAAGTTCCTAGTTTTCTTCCCTTGTCAAACCAGATGAGTATATAGTCATTTGTCCTTATGTATTTTAACCATTTAGGAATTTTCAAACATTTAAAACAATACTCAAGATTCTCAATCATGCTGGTAGAAATCCTACCAGTTTTACGTGTCGAAGCTGAGTGTTGCTTTTTTTGATGTATCAGTACCAACATTTAGTTAGTACCTAAAATGTACAAACCCGAATTAGTGCGGTTGCAGTAGAAATTCATTCATTTTTAGAAACAGAGATGTTTACTTCTACTATTTTAACTCTCTTCGTTTATAGCATAGCCACATATTACAGTTTGACCAGATCCGCTGCCGAGCTGAAATCACAGAAGCGGGTTGTGAGCAGCAATTGTGTTCTTAGCAGGGGCCTGGACTTTCCTCGGAGGCATTAAGTGGAATGCAGGCTTGGGACATGGGCTGTGCCACAATACTGCAACCCAAACAAAATAAAACTTGACTAAACCGGCAAACCCAGATTGGAGTTCAAGTTACTTTAACGGACTCTGGGGACATGCAAACTGCAGTTGTATTATGGATACAAAATTTGCTCTTTGACCTTATTTTAAGGAAAATTACTGGAGTACACATAATCTTTTGCCAGCTTTCCAATGCGTTAGGCAAGTTAACTTTTTTGCAATTATACAATATTTTAAAATTTTTAATTTTAAAATACACTTGAAAAATAGATGCTGACCCAAAAAGAACAGAGAATATCGATGAAAAGAATGTGCTCTCTGTGCGCCGAAGGGAAGCCAGCACACAGGCAACCTTGTGTGGCCTGAGGCTTCAGGATTTCAGGAAGTTGCTTGCAGATGAAGTTCTTTGAAATTAAAAGCTGAGGGCAGCGTCGTGGTGTCCTCCCTGTAGATTTGACTTTGGTGTTTTACATACAAGCTGGTGGTGACCTCAGGGTCGGGCCCAGACTCAGGTTACACACCTCTGAAGTCGGATGAAAGGCCCCTAACTTTAAGAGTTGAGTGAGAAATCTCAGAGCAGCTGGGGATTCTTGGGAGATTTTTAGTGATTCTTGCTGATCTGGAAATAATGTAAAAACAGAAGAGCTTTATGTGGTATTTTTGCACGTTCTCTGTTGGTTTGGGGAAGGATCCAACATTAAAGAGCTTAACAATAACATGTCTAAAAAGGCGTATAACTTGCTCTACACTTTTCATCTGTCCCCACCAAAAAATAAACCGTAATAATAAAAACGGCAAGAACAGGAAGGGAGACAGGAAGAACAGGTGCTAGTCGTGCGCTCGGATGGGAGCCAGCAGGGTCCTGACAACTGGGGATCTCCTGCAGTACCTGCGGTTAACGCAGAAAGTGGTGGGGAAGGTGCAAGAAATGCCTGAACTCGAATCTTTCCCTTGTGGGGCCCTGGGCTCTTTGAGGCCCAAGTTCCTCATTTCCTGAGGTCTCCTGAGGTATGAAGTATCCGCTCAAGACAATGGGTACCTGAACGTCTACCAGTTTGGTTTCTAGCTCAAATCCAAGAAAAGCCGATCCATTGAAATTCTACATGCCTACTGACCTATTTACCAAATATATTGATTTTCTAAAAAAACAAAGAAACAAAACCCTTAATTATTCATAAAGTTCATAGCAATTCATATTGCAAAGAACAGCTTGTACATCAGCCATGCAAGTTTTTTGGATGTAAATGGACTGGAAAGTACTTTTTCCCCTGCCCCAGCTTTCTGCATGTGCAGGTACAGCTTGCTCAGGCTGGAACAGCAGGCACCTCTGAGTGGGGGCTGGGGGGTGGGCAGGCTGCACCTTCCCGTTCCAGAGGGGGTGGGATACTGATGAGCCGGGGAAGGGGGAAGTGCTGAGGTTAGAGAAGGGGGCATATCTGTGTCAGAGGGAAGGGGTGCTAGGGACAGAAAGGACCAAAAATGAGAACAAGGGAGCAGGGAAAATATTCGAAGGCTCTGAATCCTTTCCCATAGGCCTCTGAGGCTCGGCCAGTTCTTCCAGTGCCGGTCATCCTAACCTCGTAATTAGTTAATGAAACGGATTTGGTCAGCTCGGTGAGTTTAGTGCAGTTCAGAACATTAGCTGTCAGTGTGTCCATTTTCAGCAGCTCGGCCATTTCCTCTAGCTGGAGTCTCGCTGAGACCTCCACAGCTTCAAGCTGTGGCAGAAAGTGAAACCCTCGTGGACAAAGATGCCTGCAGGGTCTTCAGAAAGACAGGGCCCGAAAGAGGAGGACAAATCCCATTGAACGCCAGATGGCACCTCTGCTCGCGGGTGGGGTGGAAAGAGAGGCAGTGACTGTGAGTGTGGCCGCTCATCCTGGTTTGCGTGACACTTTCCCAGGTGTAGCGCTGAAGGCCTCAAACCCAGCAAACCAAGACAGGTGGTCACCCTAGACCTACCCCAAAGCTAGTCCTGAGAAGGAAGAAGACGGAGAGAGGTAGCGGCGGGTGGAGGGGGTGACGCTGTGGCCATCTTTCAAGTCAGCCTTTCGCAGCTGCAATTCGTATGTCCTCCAGGGAAGATCAGAGGATGCTTGGGAGAGGGTACTGGGACCCGAGCAGTCCCCCAGGGACCTGCTCCTAGGGCAGGGCCTTAAGTTTGTTCCAGATATCTTGTTTGTATAACCCATATGCACTTGCTTTTCTAAATGTGCTTTTTCTCTCTCTCTCTCTTTTCTCAGGGAGGCAGGACACAGTGCGTGAGAGAAGTCTGTCCCATTCTCTCCTGTCCCCAGCACCTTAGTCACATCCCCCCAGGACAGTGCTGCCCCAAATGTTTGGGTGAGTGACTATGTTTGGGTCAAAGAACCACGTTGTTTCTTCTTGGAGTTTCTGCTGACAGTGTTTATCCACATTGTTATCTCAGGGTTCTCAAGTTGTCCTATTTCGTGGCTTGTTAGAGACAACTGCTCCTCCTGATGATGTGACTGAAAGGTGTGTGGGGGTTTCACTCGTACCTCAGGCCGATTCTCTCTCCTTACACTTGTATCTGAACCTGGGGCGCCAGGTAACCTGGGGCAGTGTCCCCTGGCGGTGAGAAGGGTGTTGAAGGAACTCTCTGTGGTGAGAACAGCGTTGAAGCAACGCTCTTTAACTGGGCCCATGACTAGCGGTGGGAAGGAAGTTCAAAGGCACCAGAGGACACGTTGAGAACAGCGTTGAAGCAACGCTCTTTAACTGGGCCCATGACTAGCGGTGGGAAGGAAGTTGAAAGGCACTGGAGGACACGCGGAAGGAAGTTCAAAGGCACCAGAGGACACGTGCTGAAGAGTGCAGACTAGCGCTACTTTAGCGGCAAAAGCAAGCGAGGAGATGGCGTGCCAGAAAACGAGGGGTTCAGAAGGAAACGCGAGCAGCAGCCAACGGGCAGAGAGGGTGAGCTCTTTAATGCCAAGCATTCAACATGTTCCAGGCACCGCGCTAAACGCTTCGTGTGCTTTTTCTCACCTTAATCTTCTCAAAAAGCTGTGAAATATAGGTACGAAATGTGTAACTCCTGTGAGTAATGTGGGGACTATTATTAGATTTATTGCACTGAGAAGGAAGTAAATTCCTAGAAGCTGGCACAACCAGTGAGTGGTGGCCTAGGTGTCTGAGCCCGAGTCTGCACGATTCCTGCGCCCACACCCCACCCTGCTGCAGCCCAGCTTCCCCGATGACACGGGGACAGCATGGGCGTGGCCGCTGGAGAGAAGACCCAGGATGGGAGTCTCTCGAGCACGAGACTCTCTGGCTTCTTTATGATCCCTGGGCCCTTGAGCTCCTTGAGGTCAGAGTGTTTAAGATTCAAATAAAAATATGTTGACTCACCATACAGATGCAACAGAACATCCCGCCACCCCCAGCATCTGCAGAGATCCTGGAGGGGCTAATAGTTTCCCTGCTTACCTCCGGCTTTGTGCCTCTGCTCCTGCTGTTCCTTTTGATCTGTTCTGCTTTTTCTTTAAAAAAAAATGTGTGTGTATATATTTAATTATATATATATATATTTATGTATGTATGTATGTATTTCATATATATATATACATATATGATTTTGTCCTTTCAGGGACAAAGTCTTTTCACATTTTATGGTGCCATTGCATCAAGACTTGTATAGCAGATTTTACTGAAGATTTGCAGCCAGTGGGGGTGATTAGTTTATAGAACAGCATGGTGAACGTAAAATGGAATT